CTTGGGTTTATAGACAGGAACAGAAGGAGGATAACAGGCATTAGAGTTCCTTRTTCTCCTGACTGCACAACTGCGTAGGTGCTCAAGGGAAACTGGCTTGAAGAACATCTTAGACCCAAACTTCTGGCAAAAGAACTCTGAAAAGGATGTGRCAGACCTACAAAAGAAAGTGAGGGGGAAAGATTACTAGAAATTACTGTGTAGAAAGTGTAATCTTGGAATGTATGTCATCTTTCAGATACGTTTGAGTGTATATCAATTACTGTTAATCCTCTCTGAGGCAGTTTGTAGTGAAGCCATCAAAACTTAGATTTTCTGTAGAATGAGTAAGTGGGAATCTGAGCTCAKTGTTCCAGCATGTTTTCACTGAGAGGAGATGGAGTATAGTACATGTATGGAGTGTGGCATCATGTACTGTGAAGCAGTGCTTCAAWAGCCAGGTGCTGCTTGTGAGGTGTGGAGATCATGCTTGGTAAGTATTAGGCTGGGATGTGGGCATAGGAGAACAACTGAATTAAATTTAGATTAGATTGCACTGAGCTCAGCCTGCCCTATATTACTAAAATGTRTAAATAACAGAGAAACTATGAATGGAGAGGAATGTTTCAACACAGTTTATGGAGGTGAGCCCCAGGCTTGATTTTGCCTCAGCTGAAAATTATGTAGGGAATAAATCCCAGCAGGATGCTTACCTTGCACATACACATTTCACACATCAAACCACTAACCTGCTCCAAGGCTGCAGTCCTTGGCTGTGATGTAGTTCAAATATACCTGCTATGAAAATTTTCAGAGTATGAATCCAGCCACAGGCCAAATCTTACTGAAGCTTTCTAAAGCTCCTTTTAAACATAAGTAACACAAAGTTACATGCCTAGGAACTGTCTGGTTGACAAGTGCCCAAAGGTAAGGTGATATGAAGGGCTCAGAAAGGAGAATCTCTGCCTTGTTTGGACTCTGTAGATAGAAACAGTTCTCTTAACTGTTATCTCTAGCAGGGGTCAAATTCAAGAGAGTGAGCATAAAAGAAAATCAGCATTTAAGAGATTTAAATTATGGTACAGGTTAATGATTTATTTCCTTTGATTAAACAGTCCTGAGGCAGTGGGCCTTATTTTGTGATTGTGGTTCCAGGCATAATAAATCTCAGTAATGTGAACGTGTATGCGGTTAAGGGAAGCTTCAGGAAACCTGCTTAACAGAAGCAACACATCTTGCAGAAGACAAACAGGTGAGCAGAGAAAAAAAATAATTTTTATAGTAGTTTTTTCGTCTTTCTAATATGAGGCTCCTTAATGAGATATACTGACTGGCTGGTTATTCCTCTCCCTCCTCTTCTTGTTTATATTTACCTTTATTTATCTTGTCAAAATATCAAGAAATTTAGGTCAAAATGTATCTGGATCCATCTGCTCTTCTAGTCTGTTCTTTTACTGCTAAAATGTAGTTAATAAATCTTTTCATTAAGTATGCTTAGTGACAATTTACTATATTAACAGAGGGCATCAAGTATCTTTAATTTTGTAGAACTTTAAATTTTTCTTCCTAATTTCTGTATAACAAAATCATTTCATCTCTTTAATTTGTCAGATTGTAGTCTATGTGTYTTACCTGTAACTTCTGTTTAGGTGGATGCTCAAATCAGGCTCTGTATTTTAGCTGGTTTTAGCACAGGTTTACTATTGCAGTCTTCTGAAAACGGGAAGTGTTTATTCATTAACGTGATCCATTTCAGTTTTGAATTTTGTTAACTGTTCTTGTATTGTTTTGTTTGTAGTTATTGTTTCGATACAACTTTATGCTCTCAATCTTATGACTGAGAAAATTATTAAGTTCATGACTGACCTTTCAATTCTGTTTGTCAAACATTTTGATTGGTTTTGGGGTGCTTTTTGGGGGAAATTTGTGATTGACCATCAGTGTTGTTGCAACCAGATTTTAAGCAGGGTCTGCAGAGTGGTGCAGCAGACACCAGACCTGGTAGGTATGATACTAGAAGATGGTATTGCCTTTATGGTAATTTGTCTTTCATGACCCTGCTGCCACATCAGGTAATTTGATTTGACATTAGATAGGTSAAAATGTAATCTATTGGGCTAATTTTTGAGATTATATATGGGMTGGATTATTTATTTGACATCTGCCTCACCCGTCTGTGGTTCTCTATGCCAGCCCATTAACCCATCAGCTCAACTACATTATCAACTGTATTTTTACTTAGGTAGTAGTGATGCTTCATCAGTTTAATTAGGGAAAAGTGTTAGGAAATATTTTCAGGGACAGCGGAGCTGTTGGTCTCTTAAGATGGATGATTTTTATCTCTTAATGGGAATAAACTCCCCAGTAATCTTCTACTTCTGTGATCTGTGAACATTCTGCAGTATTAACAGCACACACAACTTTGCTGTTTAAAACTTAGACAGCCCTGCTTGGATCCCAACTTTGATTATTTCTGTATTGTGGGCAAAGCTGGTGCAGATGCAACTTTTGTGGCATGTTTTCTGAGTTACTACGATACAATCATTTAGCTGTGTAAGAAACACATACTAGCTTACATTGTTCCTTTTGATAAAACCTGTGACACTGTTCTGGATTACACTCACATGGATGTGCAGCAATTTCCCTGTGAACCGCATATGCAGTGGGTGAACAAATGTACATGTAATATTGTTTACCATATGCCTAGAAAAATGGCAGTGTGTCTTATCTACAATTGCCACATGAGCAGCTTAGAGGAAAACTACATGAGGGTATTGATTTTTAATGGTCCCATATCAAAGTGATGTAGCTCACCAACATRCTATCAACAGAACAAATAAAATCTATATGCCTATAAACAAAATATAACTTATATTTTAAAAATTTTTATTTAATAGAAGTTATTTCAGAACAACTTGGGAKTAAAAGGTCTCATATCTGATCTAAAAACAGTTTTTGAGATGAAAAATAGACATAACCAGGAGAAGGGTTACCCCATTTATAGTGGCCTTTACATAGCATATGTAAACCAGGATGGCTTTCTCGAAAGCCTGAAGGACACAAGTGTGTGGAGCTTTTTACCTGAGGAGCAGAAGCTTCAGAGTAGGAATGGTACTACTGAGCTGTGCACCTCTTCTTGACTCCGTAGTGGCAGATTCTTTGGTGGTTCTTGCACTTTGCCCTTTGGTGCTTTTATCAGCCAAAAATGTATGGTTGGGCTGGCACTGCCGTGCCTTGGAGCCAGACATATCCTGTATGTGCCAGATCCAACCAAAGCCAGCTACAGGACCAACAGTCTTCGGCTGTGCCATTGCCTGTCTGARTYGAAGAAGCATTTGGGCMATCTCTCAGRCACATGGTGTGATTCTTGGGGTATCCTATGTGGGGCCAGGAGCTGRTCTTGAGGGTCCTGRTYGGCCCCTTCCCACTCAGCATATTSTATGATTCTGTGATCTCCTAGGAAGTAGAAAAATTAGATTCGTGCGCTTYGTCCCAAGGACTCTACCCCACATCCYTCAGGGACATTTTGGTCTTGTTTGGCCTTTTGAAGCTGGTTCAAAGTGCAGAAAGCAAAGGAAGGCTCATGGGGTCACAAAGTGCTCAGTCTACCATCTCAAGATTGTTTATTTGGGTGTATTCTGTACTGCATGGAGTAAGAATGGTGGGAATCCAACATTTCATTTGCTTTTCAGGGTTATTTGGGAAACTAAATTAAAAGATCAAGTAACTGCATAATGTACTATCTATAAAGAGGCAGGGAGTAGGATCTAGGCTACAAACCTCTCCTTGAGGTAGTGGGAATCTCATGGCTAGATCTCAGAATTGATCTCTTGCAGTCTCCATGTGTCTGGTGTTCCCTTCCATGCATAGCATATGAATCACACTGCCTTTTATATTCTCTTTTAAAAGAAGAGCTAAGGGATTGTCTCATCCAGTTCCTTGACAAAAGGCAAGTTTGGCAGCAGYGCTGTTATTTCTGATAGAGGTTTGCTGTCTTGCTGTTGAGGATAGACAGTAGTGAAGGATTGCTAACCTTCCAAGCTAGGTATCTATGCTATTCCTAGGCACCCTGCTTATTGGGAGGTGGTCAGTCTTTCGAATGTCCATCTTTGGAATTTGAGCTTATTGGATCTTCTGTCAGTCGATGTGGAAAGAAGCTTACAGCCTCTTTCTGTCAGTATGCTTTTATATTCCTAAAGACAGGACCCTRTTTTCTCTACAAAAGTGGTCACAGTACAGGCTCTTCATTTTTGTTGTTTTCTTYTATAGGTTTTGGTTCCTTGCCCTGTGATTGCACTCTCTATCCAGCTGATTACTTTATGTGCACTGCTCAAAGCTGGACATACTACTCAATTCTGGATTAGAGCAGGATACTTTTTCCAGTCATACCATGTTGTTGACTCACGTTGGATTCATGATCGTTCTAGCTGCCAAATCTGTTTCTGCAGAAATGCTGTTATGCTGATTTTTTCCCAGATTTTGTTTATGTGGTTGATTATTCCTGRTTTAATCTTAGAACTTTGTACTGCYCRTACCTGAAYRGCTGCTGCAGAGCAGCAATTGTGCAGGGGCTTGTGACTGTCTCATCAGCTTTGTGGGGAGCCCTGGGAATCAGGTTGTTACCTGCATCTTTCACATCCTCGAGTATTTTCTTTACTGCTGCTTCCCTGCTAGTGGAACAAATGTAACAAAGTCTGAGCATATGTCCAGTTTGAGATGAACCTCTGAGAAACATTAAGTGGTCTTTCTAAATAGTTTTGGAGTTTCTCTTTTTTATCTAAATACCAACAGTTCTTGTTAAATCCTGTTTTTCTAGCTTGCTTGTGGGAGTGTCATGAGCAGTATCAGTGTCAAAAGTTCTACCAAGGTCAAGACAAAGTAACTAGGATGGATCAAGACAGATGATTGCTTTTCAGCATCTGCACATCTTACCAGCTGTAGAGATGGGAATCTGCCTCTATGTGCATTCTAAATATTAAGTTTTATTACTAAAAGGTCTGCATCCCTTCTTTCTTCCATAGGAACTGACATTGGAAGTAGTGAGTGTCTTGATCCAAGTRGTGTCCCCTAGGTCTGCCTGGGCAGTCTTTTGCTCATCAGCTTCACCGTCCCGCTGAGGGGCAGAGGAGGACACACCAGGCCACTCTGCTGAGCCACTCYGGATAAACTTTTGTGACCTGTGTATTACTTTACCAGTTGTTCTTCTGCTTCTGTGCATGTAAGTGCATTCTGAGTCAGTGACCACTGAATACTTGTATCTTTTGGGAGAAAAGGGTCCTCTAAGACAACTTTTGTTATTATTATTTTTCCCATATGAAAAGGGATAAGAGGCAATGGAGTCCTAGAATAATTGACACTKTGTTTTACAGAAAACTGTTGGTGTTTGTTTTGGGTTTGTTTTCTTTTTTTGTTTGTTTGTTTTGGGGGGTTTTTGTTCTGACATGCTGAAAAGAACAAGTGTTATAATAAACAAAACCTGCATGTAAACCTGTCTAACTCGGTTAGCCCACAAGACTTAGGCAGCCTTTTTTAAAAATTACTAATTTATGTAACATCTGTTTAGATCAAGCATTTAGGAGAAGAGCTGCTTTTTCTTAATAACTGGCATCCCTTTTCTCAAGCTTAAGTTTTTTTCTGGCTTTCCATGACTGTTCTATTCTTTATATGGGTTTATGTTATTTGATACCATTATTCAAGGTTGTATTGCTTGCCTGTCTTCCTTTCAGGGGATTTGGAAGCCTGGCATCAAAAAGCTGGCCCCACAGATGAGTTCAGAGATMGTAAGTGCCTTGCAGGCACATAGGGAGCTCCTCCAAACATTGTCTGTGGAGCCTTGATAGGCACTCACCTGAAAATAATTCCTGTATCAAGGTTAGCCTTTCTGTTCTAGCTTTAGAGTCCACAGTGGTTGCACTAAAACCTGAAAACTTGGTACCTGTGGAAGTGCTTCTGTCTTAACTGAAAAAGTTGAAAGACAACATGACTTCTGGAAAGTCKGCTGTTGAAATCTATGCATAATTAGTGGAAAGGAAGTGTCAGTCTGAATATATTTTTACAGAATTAATTATAAATTTCTTGATCACATCTTCCTCTGTTTTCTGAYTTAGAATTTTCTGCCAAAATAGAGACTCATAAACCTTTTGATTCTGAATTACTGCGTTTGTATATTATAATACAGTATTTTCTACCTTTCTTTTACAACAGGCTTGTGGCTTTTTTTTCCCAACAGTTCAGGATTCTTTCACCGATTTCTTTGAAAGGCTATATTAAAAGAAAAACATAACACAATTTAAATTTTATGCCAGTTAATCTAACTGCCAGCCATAACTCCATTTGGTCTTTGGAATAAGCATCAAAAGCTGAGAAAGTTTTCATTCTCTTATGCCCATTATATAAAGATTAGAGCAAATAAATGCAGGTACTTTCTCATTAAAAAAAATACAGGGTCACCAGTTCTGACTCTTTTCATTTTTCTTTAATTTGTCAATTTTTTATCAGCTCTATCTTGCTGATAGAGTGGAAAGAAGGAGAGACTGAAATTAATTAAATCTTCTTTGATATTTAACTTTTTATTTAGTGTCTTGGGGATCCAAGGAGCTCCAAGCAATAATCAATCAAAATCACTCCCCTCTGTCTATTCTCAGTGGAACTGTAATAATAACCAATTAATACAGCTCTAGACYGGACAGAAAGGTGGTAATTAGCCCCTACAAAATTGACTGCAATTAGCAAAATTCTGGTGTAGCAGAAATCACCGGATAAACCATTTTTGCAAAAAAAAGTTTAGGATTTAGCTTGCTCGAAATACTGAAATACAGCAGCATTTTCACTTTGTTCAGGCCTTTTTTGACCTTGTTTAAGGGATGAAGGTTTTTTAGACACCTTGAGCCTCATTTTTAACATGACCTGCCATGGTCAGTTAACTGGTAATGTATCAATTAATCAAAAAATAATCTGTGTGCATCACTTGCCATAATATTCTACGGTTCCACTTCCTTTGAAGTATTTCTGACCTAAAATCAAAGCACACATACCACTGCAAAGCGTTTTAGAAATATATGGTGTTATTCTGGTGACACCAGGTGTTGAAAGTAAAAAATGTAATGCATTATGTATTCAGAAGCATGTCTTTACTAATTGATAGTTATCGTGGGGTAGATGTGAGCTAGTGAGGGTTTGTAATCTGACATTAATTTATCTGTTTTGAAAGAAATGTTTATGTGCTGAAAGTCAGAAGTTGTTYGATCATTACCTGTCTTTTTAAGTCATACCAAAAAGACAAAATTAAAATGTTGTATGGTTTCTCTTCTTTCGGTGTCTTAAGTAATACACTGTTTCTTGATTTATATCTGGCTCTCTAATTAAATGATTTAATTTTTCTTCAGTTAATTAGCATCACTAAATGAGTGTTTGCTTAAGGAATGCAGAAGTGAAATTAACTGATATTTCCAGATGTCCCTGGATACTGTCAAGTCTGGGAGAAATGCTGTTCAGAATAACAATGTTATTCCTGTGTTTGGGCATTGGGAGTTGCCCGAGTCTGTTATACTGCAGTACAGTATTTGGATGGGGAGAATGGCACTGGGAGGGCAGTGATTGATTTGTTCAAGAGCTGAAATGTAACTTTCTATGGCCGAGTTGGACTAAAAAGTTATTTAATAATATTTGTGCATTTTCAATACTGTGTGAATAATGCTTATATTTAATATTATTTAGGTAGCATCATTTTAGCTCCAAAGATACAGTATTTGGTTAATCTGTAAAATTGGCCTTTCTTACTTCAGCTTTTCATTGCCAAACGAATGTGGTGTGAGGGCGTACCAGTATTCACCYAGAACTACTTCTTGAAACTCCCAGGCTGTATTTGCTGTGAGCCAAGACCTTTCAGTGAAGCAGTCTGTTTTTAAAAGTGAGGTGCTGACTTYTCCATGGTGTTTACTGGAGGCTGTTCTCTTCAGTTGTCACATAAATTACAAGTACCACTTATAATTTATTTTTTYCTTTAGTAGAAGCAAAGTTGCTGACAGGAAGGCCAGTTGGTTTTATCTTGTGTATCAGTTTATCCTGAAAGGTGTGTGTTGAAAATGTCTGCTGAGGGAACTTTTCACTTAGAAGGACAGAGGAGTWTTAGGACTTGCTGTTCCTGTCCTACTTATCCTGTACGCATACTCTGAAATTGGAATAAGTAAAGCATAAGGAGGGCAGTTGGAGGATACTCTACAAACTGCTGGGTATTTGGGACTTACGTGGAAAGATGGTCCAGTCCAGTAGCAGCAGGTACGAATTGTTTTCTTATTTCCACAGCATACCCTGAGAAAGCAGGAATATAATGATCCATTGTCATTTCTGCCTCATGTCCCATGGCATGGACAGGGAACAGTGGGAGTTTCCCTTTCTGTGCTGGGATCTATGCATCCCCTTTGGTCTGCTGGCAGTTAATGGAGCCAGTTTAGCCATCCTCTTTTTTCATAATTTTGGCCCATGTTTGGGGTGGGGAGATACTAAAGGTAATCAGAGGATATGCTAATTTGTTATTGAGGCTTAATCACCTTTGCTTGGGACTTGCACCAGTTCTAAATTGGCTGCATTTTAACATGCAACTCGAGGCATTCAGGACATTTTATATTGTAATATTGCCTAATTCGAGCCTCTTTTCTCAGCACAAAGTTTGGTTTGGGCAAGACTTACAAGGAGTGACTGAGGCCACTTGGTTTGTTCACCTTGGAGAARAGAAGGCTGARGGGAGACCTCATCACAGCCAACAGCTTCCTCAAGGTGGGCTGTGGAGGGCAGGTTCTGATCTTATCTCTGGTGACCAGTGAAAGGACACGAGGAAATAGGCTGAAGCGGGGAAAGTTCTAATGGGACATTCAGGGAAGTGGTCATGGCACCAGGCCTGCCAGAGTTCAAACAGCAATGCTGCTTGTCATATGGGTTAGCTTTAGTCAGTCCTGTGAGGAGCAGGGAGTTGGACTCTATGATTCTGTGTGTCCCTTCCAGCCTGAGAGATTCTGATTCCTGTATTGCCTTCAAATGATGAGTCCCCAGAAGCTCGTCTGTGGTCCCCAAGCGTATGTTCTTGCACTTTGTATCATTAAAAGCCATCTTAATTCAATTACRCAGTTCTTAGCCCATCTCATATGTCTGTGGCATGAACTGATKCTCTTCTAGATACATCTGTGTGTGATGTATCTGTGCAAGTACAGCTACTTGCTGTACTAAGAAATAAAACAACATTGATTCCAGAGGAATATGACTGGTAACTTTTGTCTGTGCTTATCATTTCGTGTTTTAATATAGTCAGTTACAATCTTCCTTTAACTAACTCTTTGTTCAAAGACAGTYCTTCCCTGTGACTTGGACTGGAGATATTTTCACGTCTTATTTAAATAATGGACTCCAAGTTCACTGTGTTATGCTTCTCAAATTAGGTTGTTTAATGACACTAGCCTACTGGCATTTTTTGCCTTCAGAACCACATTGCATATTACTCCCCTTCTCATTTACTTCCAGWACTTAATTCTGTTCTTTCTTTATCAAGTTACTAACAGAAATTCCTTCTCAAAGGTCGCTGAAAAGAGGCTGCAGAGCATGTATAAAGGTATTTTCATTTATAGAAATATTTTATTTGTAAATAATTGGCTCATATGAATTAAGATCAATTTAATGTAATGTCTTCTGTTACAGCTTTACCCCTGTTATAAGATGTCCTTCAGTACAGCTTCCTCCTTCAAGGCATCCTGGACACTGCCAAGCAGACTTTGAATTAGAGTAAATTCTACATGTTGTCAAATAACCAAAATGGTTTTTATCTCCAATTGCAAATATGTAGAGATAGGAATTACTGATACTGAAATAATTTCCTATGAGACTCATGTGGCCCCAAGAGGAGATTTAAGGGCTTGTRCAGTAAGTAAATGCAGACCTTCCAGACGTATGTTAAATTTTGCATTGGACTATATAACTTGTTTCTGCATCAGAGACCAAGCCACTCTTTACCAGAAAATAAACATTTAATTGCACACATCCTTTTTAGGACACATACAAATTGGRGGTTTCTTGTCTTGCTATCTTTGATTCTACCAGGCAGGAGGATATGTGAGTTTGGTCAGTTCATTTTTTTGATTTGAAAGTAATTATTCCAGTGCCTTGCTAAGTGCAATTTCAGGCTTTTTTCAGAATATGTATATGTTTCTTCTGCATAGAAGATAGGAGGCC